TACATCAGACCGGCTTGTCTGAACGTGCAGTATTCTGAAGAGGTGGAAAGGACTTTAGTGGCTTTGGGTTGGGGACAATCCGAAGTTGTCACGCGTTCTCCGGTTCGCAACGATCGATTACGGAAGATCACTCTTGATGAACAACCGAATTCCGAGTGTCAGAAGCATTACAGATTTCCTATTGATCCAAGTCGCTTCATCTGCACTATAGGCAAAAATAAGGATACTTGTGTAGTATGTTATAACATTATTTTGTATAATATATTATTTTTGATGATTCGAATTTGCAGGGAGACGCAGGAGGACCGTTGCAGAAGTTGAACAGCAATTACCATTCGACGTACGATATCTTCGGAATTACGTCTTTCGGACGTAGCGTTTGCGCTACGAGTGAACCGTCCGTTGCCACCAGAGTGTCGTTCCACATCCAATGGATTGAATCCATTGTCTTTGCTTAGTTAAAAATCTTTCCAGTTTGCAAAATTCCTTTAAGAATCTTTAAATAGATTTAATCAGTTTCGATCCACTGACTTATTATTATCATTTGCACAACAAGAGTGCAAAGTGTATCACATCTTGGACTCATTTTCAATATTGTTCTGCATATCGTTTTTTTCTTATAACATAAAAATAATTCAATAAATAAGTAAACAAAAATTCTTTTGAATTGCTAGTTTTCATTTGCTATTACAAATATGTTAATTTTCTTGGTGTTAATATCATAAATTTGGAGATTTAACAATATTTTTACAGAAAAATAAATGATTCATTGTGTATACTTAATGTAGTAATTGATATATTGCTCATATGAATAAATATACAAAATACTCCTGATTAAATAAAAAAATCAAAATTCTCGTTTTCTTAACAACCTAAATAAGTCTTGGAATAAACAAAGATTGTGACGTATCTCTCAAGTTACATGTAAACTCCTAATCATTGTTAAATCATGGACTTCCAAGTTTTTACCATTCGTGGGAACTGGATAAAAGAAGTCGGTGGATCGATAACAATACACAATATTAAAACAAAAAAGAAACAAGTTTTCAGTAATTAATCAGTGGACTTTCGTTTCTTAGAGATTACAAAGCTTTTTAAAAGGCAGTCTACAATGAAAAGAACCAGTTTCAGTTTGCCAGTCGCAGGAGAAACATGTCTGTCCGTTCCGTGCTGTTCGTAACTTTGGTTTTGGGTGTTGTTGCAAATGCAACACCTGGAGAGAAAAGCAGAAAATGTTTGTTTTTTTTTAAATTTGTTATTTCAATGTTATAATTTCATTTGTTTGTAGATTGTGATGAAACTCACGTGAAAGCGACTGGAAGAGTTCGCAGGATTGTCGGTGGTATTGAAGCAGCTGAAAATGAATTTCCGCACATGGTATAAGGTTTTAATCTTTGTAATAACATTAAATAAAGAAGCTATTGTTCTTTTTAGGTTTCTTTGGGTTACGAGGAAAAAAATGACATTTCGTGGCAATGCGCAGGATCCTTGATTAGCAACAAATACGTTTTGACTGCGGCATCATGCATATCTAGGTACTATGGAAAAATGAAATTGTTCAATGTATTACGTACAATGTTTTAGAATTACTCCGAAGTACGCTAAATTAGGTACAGTCGATTTGGACAGCAAGACTGAACCGCTGAAGATTGCCAGAGTGATCAGAAATCCTGCCTTCAAACCTCCATTTTCGTACGATGACATCGGTTTGATAGAACTCGAGAAACCCGTCGAGTTTAGCGATTCGATCAGACCCGCTTGCCTGAACACCGAAGATTCAGATGTGAAGCACACGTTCACCGCAACGGGATGGGGTTTGACCAGTTTCAATGGAAATCCAAGTTCTAAACTTTTGAAAGTCGCTTTGGAGGAGGTCGACAATGCGGATTGCAACAAGCATTATGAGAAGAACAGAAGGCTCGTTGACGGGATCAAAGCGGAATCCCTGATATGCGCAGGCGGAGACCATAAAGATACCTGTCAGGTGAGTCATTTGTTTGAGCTATTTGCATCAGTTGGTATTTGTTTTGTTTGTTTCCAGGGAGATTCCGGCGCGCCGCTCCAGATTTTGAATCCCAAGTATATTTCGACTTACGACATCCACGGCGTCACTTCTTTTGGAAAGGCGTGTGGCTTTAATTCGCCTGCAGTCTACACCAGAGTGTCCCATTATATCAATTGGATCGAATCCATCGTTTTCTAAACGCACTCTAATAATTTACAAACAACAACAAATAAAACGATTCAATAATTATTTTTTCTTTATGTTTTATTTTCTTAGTAATAGATAAGCTGTATACAAATGATTACATTATACTGTTATATTATTAAGTGCAAACATTATTTCCTGTTTTTTATTGATAAATTTAATCGTTATTAAATAGAGACAAATACGAAGCATTTTGCCTTATTCATAAATGCAAAAGTGTTAAATCACGACCGTTCAAGTTATTTCGTCAGTGGAAATTAAATAAAAGAAGACGATGGACGACGACGAATGTCACATTAAACGAGATTGACAGTGCAGAGTGCATCAAGACTTACAAATCTAGAAATATTGCATTCAACGGCGAACCGCAGATCTGCACAAATTCCAAGGCTAAGGACACTTGCAAGGTAAGTATTACATTAATTATTCCATTCGCTTGTAATGATTCAATTTCGTAGGGCGATTCAGGCAGACCTCTGCAGAAACTCAATCCTGATTTTTGTACCGTTTACGATATATATGGTATTACTTCGTTTGGAACCAGGACCTGCGCGACTGATTTTCCATCCGTCTTCACCAGCTGGGGACAATCCGAAGTTGTCACGCGTTCTCCGGTTCGCAACGATCGATTACGGAAGATCACTCTCGATGAACAACAGAATTCCGAGTGTCAGAAGCATTACAGGCCATTTCTTTTTGCCATCTTTATGGCTGGCATGCCCAAGATTCAGGCCGGATCCTCCACCTCCGCAGCCTACTACGCCGATGATACTGCCATCCTGGTGAGGCACAATTCGACCGATCATGTCACGAGGTTGCTCCAAGAGGCCCTTGATCA